GGATTCTTCTACATTGTATATTTGTGTAAATTTTAATTAATTAAATGCTTCTGTTGCTGATTAAAAAAAAAAACATCTTGAAAGGCAAGAGTATATACCTTAGGTCCCTTCACAGCCAGATAATCACCCACACGCATCTCTCGGAAATGGTGGGACATCCTTCCTTGTGGATACATCTACTCATGTGCAAAAGCCAAATGCAAGAAAGAACACAAAAATCAGTTGGGGCAAAAGAACAAGCAAGAAAATAATAAAATTGACTCCTGGGGTTTCAGATGAGCACCTTTATAACTAGTTCAAAGTGTCCAAGATCTGAATCCAGAGTAGTTGGGGTGTATGGCTTGATAACTTCTTCACCTTGGCCATCCCTACCCCTGTTTGAGATAATATTAAATATTCAGAATGGAAATCCAACGTCAGACCTCAACCATGCCTATTAAAGTGCCACAGATGAGAAGATTTGGACCAACACTCATTGAGCCCAACTGTTTTGATGATCCTTTAAAAATCCGATATAAATTCAAATACGGTGAATTGAATAAACCTGAGACAAGACCAAGGCAACGAACCTGCAACTTATATGCTGTCCAATTGGAAGGCCCAACACTGAAGTAGGTGTAGGAAGAGCAAATCGAAACTTAGCAACATTGTGGCTGAGCTGAGTACGCTGAACAAGCTTAAATTCCTTAAAGTTCTCAGGGTCTAAACAATCTATAAGCATACATCACTTGTTAGCCATGTTGCATACTAGCAACTTTTAGTTCCCCAAGGCTCAGTGTTAAAGAAAGCAGGTGTAGAGGGGATGAGCTAATAGAAAAGCCAGGTAAATGAGCCCAAAATTACAAATCTAAGATGATAAAGACACTGACATCAATTTCTAAAGACATAAAGGAAAGAAAGAACATACCATGCCTTTCAGCACACAAACACACCATAGTTATATGAGATAAGCAAAATTATATGAGCTAGCATAATTATAAGAAAGGAAGCACACACCATAACTATACACGGAAAGCACCAAGATATCCCTGTTTTGGAGGTCTAAGCTACCTATAAGAGGTATCATCTAGACATTTTTCTACAGAACCAATTAGCTAATACAACAAGATAAAAGGTAATTTAGCCAGTCCACAACTATTTTGGAGTCACCTTCAATAACTAACCTTTCAAAACCCAACTCTCTGGCTTTCTCAACACCAAAAACAGCTGCCAAGAATTCAGTTGTTGCCACATCACCTTGCTCAATTGGACCTGAGAATAGAGAACATATATTTCCTTCTCATCCCTGATTACCTCCAATTCCAAAGGGGCCTGGATTGCCCACACAACTCCCATCAAAATTCAGTTTCAGCCAACCACAAGGCAGAGGTGACCAGTCTAGAAGAAGAGGCAGCTATAGCCCCCCAAGCTCTGAAAAAATCATCAACCTTAAAATCTGAGAAAAGATCCAAGGTCTTGACCCAATGTACCACTCTTAGGGTTATGACCTCTATCAATACTTCTTCCCCAAATACTCTAGAATTTCTTTCCTCCTAGACTGTCCAAACCACTACTACCCTTGTACATTTCCACATCAATCTGCCCCTCCTATTTGTACAACTGCAAACAGAATGGCTAAACAACCCTTCCAAGCTAACAGGAAGGAGCCAACTACAACCAAAAAGTGAAGCAAACAAATCCCTCATAAAGCCAACAAAGGAGTAGGAGATTAAGAGATAAAATGCAGTCTCACCATTTGGCTTGCATAGGCTACACCAGTTGGGGGACAAGCACCAGCAGAAAGCACAGACTCTAGGAGGAATGGGAGAATGCCATATTTTCTTAGTAGGAAAAGCCTTACAAGTGAAGACCCCAACAAGATTAAGGGTCCATACCTATATGGCAAGGAAAACAGGAAGAAAGTCGTGGATGGCTTTCCAAGGAGTAGCCAAAGTAGCTCTATGAAGACAACCAGCATCCCATCCATTATTTGACAGCCCATGAATACTTGATACCACTTTGTGTCAAAGTCAGGAATCTCCACAGCCATTTACTCAATAAGGCCAAGTTTTTCATTCTAACATTCCCAATCCCTAGGTAAATGGTTATGGAGATTCCCTTTTGAGAGGGATAGGTTGTGGCACAAGGTAATTGTAAGCATTCATGGGCTGGAAGGCAATGGTTGGGACGTGAAAATAGACCCTCATTCTTCTTCGGCTTCCCCATGGAAAGCAATTCATGATGTGTACCCAATCTTTCTTAACTCCACCAGGTTTTATGTGGGAAGGGTTGACAGATTTTGTTTCTGGAAAGATTTATGGGTGGGTGAAACTCCACTTGAAGACCCCGATCTCTTTGTTGTGTCTCTCCATAAGGGTTGGACTGGAATTTGGGATTCAAAAGAGGGTTAAGAGAAAACGAATGTTCTTCCTTGGCTCACCTACTAGACACTCTAAGGCAAGTCTATCTGGACCCTTCCCTTGAGGACTCTAGATTTTGGTTGCCTTCCCCAGATGGCCTCTTCGCTTTCTCTTCTTTTTACAAATCCCTTGCCTCATCTACAGCTCAAGGGGTGGACTTCCTAGTGAAAGAGTTTGGTGTAAGCCTATCCCTCGTAAAATTCAAGCCTTTTGCTAGGAAATTTTCCTTGGTAAGGTACATATTTGTGATATGCTGCAGAGAAGAAGGCCTCATGTTTGCCTTTCTCCTCATATTTGCTTCTTGAATAGCGGCAATGGTGAGATCCTGTCTCATTTATTAATCTATTGTCCTGTTGTGCATAAAATTTGGATGTTTTTCTGAATTTCTGCTCTCTTTTTGATTGCAAGTGGATCCCCCTTAGGAAGTGGTGGGCATTTTCAATCCCAACTTCTTGAGACAATCTAAGAAAATAGGGAAAGTGCTATGGAAGGCCACCAAAGCAGCAATTTTCTGGGTTGTATTGGAAGAAAGGAATAGTAGGATTTTCACTGAATAAAGCAAATCTTTGGAGGGTTTGATTGATAGAATAAAACTAACGATAGCTTTGTAGGTAAAGTCATTGGACTGCTTCCAAAACTTTTCTATCACTGACATTCTACGGGCCTGGACTGAGGTAGGACACTCTTCAAGAGTTAAACATAGAATATTAATGGAGACTGGAGAGGAAGCCTCCAAAAGGTAACAAAGTTAAGCTGAATTTTGATGGGAGCTCCCTTGGGAATACAGGCATGGCAGGAATAGGAGGGATGAAAAGAAAATCAGAAAGGAATATATTGGCCTTATATTCAGGACCGATTGGCATGGAAAAATCTTTAAAAGTTGAATTATTGGCCTTACTGCAGGGGCTCAGATTAGCTAAACAGTTGGGCTTCAGATCAATTGTGGTGGAAGGGGACTCAAAAGTAGTTATATCTTGGGTAAATGCAAACAGGCACACCCCTTGAACTCTTAAACATGCAGTAAGGAATGCAATAGGTCGCAAAGGACATATGAGCAGAGTTTAAATGGGTTTGCTGATTTCCTAGCTAAACAAGAAGATACAAGACAACTTTTGTTCTGGGCTTCTATGTAACTTAGGTTTGAGGAAAGGGTTTGACAGTTCTGTACTGATATTGTACTAAGCACCACTTTTACTATTTTATAAAATAAAACTTAATTTATGTTGATCAAAACAAAAACAAAACAAAAAGAAAAAAAACATTCCCAATCCCCAGCCCCCCCTCTGCCTTCAACTTCATCACCTTCTCCCAACTAAGAAAATGATCCTCCTTCCCTTCCCCGGGTTCCCACAAAAAAACTCTCATAAGCTTTTCAAATTCTCACAATAACTCGGGGCATCCTAAAAACCGACATATAATAGATGGGAAGTTTAGCTAAGGTAGATTTGATCAAAGTTATTCTCCCACCCAGAGAAATGTAATTTCGTTTCCAAACTATTGCATTTAAGTTACACAGATATACCCAATTTTCAATATCTATGAAACTCATTATCATAGAAGCAACTATCTGTCATTTATTTTGTTATCAAGAGCTAAAAAGACCTAAATCAATGATCAGTAAGATATAAGACTGTAGACTTCTGCTTTAGAAACACTGAAGTTCTAGACAGACATGGTCAATCAGGACATGGCTAAGTCATCCATGCTATAGCCTTTAGGGAAACTTAATCTTCACATTTTAAAAGCGTGAAAGCATGGATGAAGTGGTCAATATTTATTGGATCACGGAAGCCTGGGATGTTGAGTCACTGCATCTTCACAAGAACCAATTATCATTTAACTTTCAAGAAGTAAGATAACGATCGAAAACCTATTAATAGAAAAGGTTAATAAAGTAAAAACACGGAGATCTATTCTTATTGTTTTTTTTCTCCTGGAGAGATGGAGGATTTTCCTAGAGAATGAGATATGAAATGAACTCTGCTAAACTTGAGGAGTAATTGACCCCATACAGATATAATTGCAGAAAGATAAAAATAGAAATACAACTCCTTTAGTATTTGCAATAAAACATGGGCAATGAACCATATAGTGAAAGAGTCGAGAAAACGCAACTATCGTTACTTGATTGTCATAACAAAAGTGGAGGAACTAGTGATGATTACACCATGAGGAAACTGCAGCACTTTAAAGAAAGAAGCTCATCTCAAAATCTAAATAACCCGGTAACGAACCAACTATGACTAGATCAAAACGTTATAATTACTCTTCGACCAATTTAAGTAGAAAAGAAAACGAAACAATTTGGTCAAACGAAATTGACAAGTAATGAAGCTTATACCCCTGGGTTTCTTGTTAGAATAAATATAAGCAGCAGCAGCAACGGCGGCAAGAGCGACGGCAATGCCTACTATCTCCACCGTAGGAGACTGTAACAACTCCATCTCTGGACTGAGTCTGATCCACCTAGAATCCCTAGATTTCTGAAATGGTGGGAAGAGATTCAAAGGAGAGAATTTGTTTTCTTTCTCCAGCTAACGAGAGAGGGACATAATTATTATTTATATAAGAAATATAAAATTAGAAAAAGATGGTTGTCGATGGAGACCTGGAGGATCTGGTCTACCTAACTCTTTTACTGTGGGTAGCTACCAATACCACCTCTACCTTCTTTTTTGGTTTATCTGCAACAATACCGCTCCTTCTTCAACTTCAGACTTGTTAGAGTTTGAAAAACAAGTAGGGTGATTTTGTAGGCTTTTAGCATGTGGTAGAGGACGGGATCTGCTCCTCACACAGGGCGCCTCACATGCACATCCACCGTACATATGTGCGTGAGGCGCGTGTGAAGCGCCCTGAGTGAAGCAGATCCGGTCTCTTGATAGACAGGTAGTGGTACCAAACAGCCGAATTGGCGTAAGCGCCCCACACAGTACGTACCAACCGTGTACCAAACAACCGAACTCGGCTTCCATCTTCGAATAGCTTTTATGGCTTTCCATTGCGAATATCTCCCCCAAGTACATAGTTACGGAGATATTCTCTGTACAGTACGTACCAACCGTGTTTCAACTATTCTTTAACTCCGGATAGAATTGAATTTTGATCGTGGATTAATGCCAAACGCACGGGTAGGATACGGTTTATAGAAAGCTATTAGTAGATCAGGGAGTGGCTGTAATTTCAGATTTTTTAGGGGAGTACAATCTATTTATCCCAAACTTTAAACTCGGCTTGAGTTGGTGCAAGGACCATTCCAATAGCATTTATGGCCTTGCATTGGGAATATCTCCTCATGAAATAAAGTACATAGGTATAGAGATATTCCCAATGCAAAAGGTTGTAAAGGTTGTTCCAATGGTGTCTCAAATGGGCATTGCACCGACTAAAGCTGATCTCGGAAACATCTCCCCATAACAAGTATTGAAAATGTTTTCAATGCATGATGAGATGCTTATGTGGGGTGCGTTTTGTGAAGGCACCAGTCATATTCGAATATGGGTATATCCGAATTTGACGTGGTTCTATTCGAAGATCCGATCAGATCTCACAAATGTTGATTCAAATTCAAATCCAATAAAGATGTTGGATATCCGAATATGATTTGATTTAATTTAATTTAAAAAAATAATAAATTATTAGAAGAAAAAGAAAATATAACCATTTAAATAAAAAACAAAAAATACAAGTATTTTTCCAACCATTTTCATTATATATAAACATGTTTTTTATAAAAAATAAATAATATAAAAAATTTTACAAAAATGCAATATAAATAACATATCTATAAATAAATAACACACACAAATCCGAATTTGATTAATTTTAATCAAATCCTATTATCTTATCAAATCATATCCAAAAATCCAAAATGGGGATATTAAAATCCAACAAAAAAAGGATCGGACTTCAAATCGGATTAGACCATGATCTGATCCATTTGCACCCCTATCGGTATTCCATTACTTAAATAAAAGGGAAAATTACTTAAATACCTTTAAACTTTCTGACAATTATTTTAAAGTACCCATAAGGTTTGAAACCCTACTTAAAGTACCCCTAAAGTTTTGGAAATTTGATTTTCGTTAAGGTATGTTTAAATTTTCAAAACATACCTTCTCTCATTTTTTCTTCATTCTTGTTCCATTTTTAAACAACCACTTACAATGTAGACTTGACACTTTAGTTTCATTAAACAATGTTTGAAACAAAAGACTCAACGAAGAAAAATAGATAAGACCCTAATGATGATGACATAACATAATACAATTGATTGACTCTGACACATTTGAACCAAAAGTTGCTCTTTGAGGTGATACTTGACTGTGTCCAGACATATCCAATAGGTATATTCCGTTCACCTCATGGCTACTCCAAATCACCTTATGAGATTTCATGTCTTAAAAACATAATAAAGAAAAAATGTCACACTATAGTTCAAGGATTTTGTCAAATTACTAACTGAAAGCAAGTTAGTATTTAGTTTAGGAACATGAAGAACTGAGGATTAGGTGAGGGTATCCGAAGCTCTGATGTTTCCCTTACCAAAGATAGGAGCAAGGGAGCCATTAGCAAAGGCAATCTTATCTCAATTAGATAAAAGCTGGTAAGTAGGAAATAAATGGAACACACTAGCCATATGGTTAGAGGCACTATAATCAATTATTCAAGGAATCCTACGATTACATGAGATAGAAGCATGATTCATAGTAGCACAAATACCTGAATGGGCATATGCAGATGTAGAGTCATCTCTTGAAAATGCACTGGCTACATTAGTAGGCTTTAAGTGGATAATGAGTTATCCATACTTTTCATGCTCTGCTCTAATAGCTACAAGCTATTCCCCCATTGATTCTCATCACCATAACCCTTTTCAACCTAAGAAGTGGTGGCTACATTGGCATTGCCACTACTCCTAGCCCCGCTCTTCTTACCATTGTAGTTATTCTTGAATCTAGGAGGTATAATTTTTTAATGTAGTTTCTAACATGTATCCTTTGTGCGTTTCTTGTCATACTCACATACCACATATTTCTTCTTAGTACCATCCATCGGCTTTGTCCCAGCATTTGCAAAATGATTCATTAATACCTCTGTAACCTGCACCTATCTCCAACTTTCCTCACTACTAACCATTGCATAGGCTTGGGGCAAAGGTAACTTCATCTTTTTCCAGAATATTCTGTCTGACAATATCATACTAGGGATTGAGTCTAGTGAGGAACTCAAAGACCTAGTTTCTCTCCTCTAATTTCCTTTGAGTCTCAGCACCTCTACTACATCCCCACACAACAATCTCCATCAAGTCAATCTCCTTCCAAAGAGATTTCAGCACAGAGAAATAAATAGCCAAAGGTTTCTCCCCTATCATTATTGACATAATTCCTTAGTTTGTAAGCCCTATCAACATTCAACTTCTGGGAATAGGTCTCTGTAACCGTGTTGTGAGATCTAGGAAGCTCATGACCGACTCAAATAAATAGAGTCACCACCCATTTTTTAGAGGAAATAGGCCCTCATTTTTAGATTTGAAAAGTTGATTTATGTCTTTGATAGTGATTACGTCCTCTATATGAAAAGACACACAACTGAGAGATTCTAAATCTGGAATGATTGGGAGAGGAAAGGTCTTAGGCACCCCTCTCTCCAAGTTGCTGTAGTAGCTTAATATGGGAGTTGTCTATGCTCTATTTCATGCGAAAAACAATAGAAATAGTTGTTGGAATTTATGAAATTTGAAAAAACATTCTCTCAACTTATCCTAAGACCGATTTTGAGGTGATGTTACTATGTCTTAGGTACTGACTTCCCTAAGACCCTCGCCTCTCTGGCTTTATTATCTGTCTAGAAGAATTCGAGAACAATGATTCTCCAATGTCTCAGAACTTCAACCAACATAGAAAGCACAAACTCGAGTTACAAATAGGTTGAGAGGCTTACTTCTTGTATGTAACCTTTACAGCGATATTCAAACAATCGAACTTATCAAAAGAGTAGTTGAATGGGCCCAATAGAGGTTTGATATGGATGAATCCTTGGGGATTTTGAGAAATTTACAGATCTAAAACATAGATGGTGGTTTTGAAGTTTAAGGCTCAGATATCTAGGGGTTTTTCGCGAATAAAAGTTTTACAGAGGTTGGGAGTGCTTCTAAGATCTCCCCTCTTCATATCCGCACCCAAAGTTCTCTCAAAAGTCCCCCCAGGTTTTCTCCTCCTCTTAAAGCTTGAGTTGGGTCTATTTTTAGAGGAAGGGAGAAGAAGTGGTCTGGAACTCATTTAGCTATAGTGCTTGGGATTCAATAGAGATTCTTTTACATAAATAGGCAAAGATTTTTCAAAGAAAATGGTGCCCAATCAAGCCTTCTTCTTTGGTAAAAGGTTTTCTTCAGTTTGGAGTGGTTTTTTACATAAATAGATAGGTAGATAGATACAAGATCTTCTGATGATTGATGACTGATATTCTTACTAAAGGCATGACTTGTGCTTGTTTTCAATTGTTACATGGAAAACTCAATGTTGTTGCTTGGCCATTGAGTTCACAGGGAAGATTGGAAATAATAATGAACATGCGAATGTTCAAGATAGCAAGGCAATTGTTGATAGAAGACAAGATCCCTTTATCAAATTATGCCTAATATAATTCTGTTAGGATTGTATTAGGCATAATTTGAGTACAATTTAAATACTTTGTAGTATAAATACTTGTTTTTTAATATTTTAATCTAATGAAAGCCATTCACATCATTGGTCTTCTTCATCCTTCTCTTACACTAGTTACACCCATATCTCAAGTATTTGGGGAGGATTTCCTAGAAGACAGGCTTAAGCTTTTCTATAAGTCTAATCCCATCCCAGAATTATATGTTCTTTTTGCTGATGAGGATTTGCCATCAAGTTAGTTCTTTGATCTAAATTTCCTTCTATAAATTTATATTCACAGAATGATGAAAATGTGAAAATAGAGGTTAGGAATAACTTTGATGAGATTGTGTTGGATGATTCAAAAGATGTTCCTTCTCTAGGTCTCACTTTCATGAGATTAATCTAAAACCTATGAGCTATTTATTTATTAATCTATAATGTTCTCTTTATTATTATTGGCATGATTCTAATATTTGGTTATGAAGTAGTGGGTGTTTGGTATAGTGGCATTGCGTTACCTTGAATTTTGGATTGATCAATACAAATTTGCAAGAATGTGTCGTCACATTATATATGTGTCATTTCAATTAAAAAAAATGCATGTGTGTGAGAAATATCAAATTTGGCATTTTAGGTAGAAATAACAATTTGTATTAATCAACTCAAAATATTTTCAAAACATTTCAAATAGAAAAAATTGTCTCATAAATTTGTATTGATCAATCCAAAATGCAACGATAATGCAATGCCAATGTACCAAACACCTCCTACATCTATATATGCAACATGGTGTGGGCACTACCAAGCACTGGAACTAATTTACACAGCAAGCTTGCTAAGCAACTGCGCGACATTCATTCTTTTGTCATGGCTAGAACAACCAATGA